TTTTGTTGTGATTTGGCGCTATATAAATAAAATTGAATTGAATTGTATTATCAGACTGAACTATGCGGTCTAAATTTAATACTGTCTTGAACACATCTTTTGGCCACTGCAGCCAGGAGATGAGCTTTTTCCTGTGGATGAGGATGGGCAGGTTATTTCTGACAACAGCAACTTCTTGGACACTTATGAGGTAATATAAATGACTTATTGCACAGTGATAATCCCGTGGACTTGCTGACAACCAAATTAAAATATGCTGTGCTAAAGCCAGTTTATGATTTATCTTAAAGGCAATGGAAAAGCTGGTGGATGCTGGTTTGGTCAAAGCTATCGGCATTTCCAACTTCAACAAAGACCAGATTGAAGCCTTACTTAACAAGCCTGGCCTCAAGCACAAGCCTGTCAACCACCAGGTAGATTTTGCAAAATTGTTTTTTATTTATTTTGAATTCTGGAGGCATGCACTGTTAAAAAATGAAATGAAAATAAAATAAAGTCCCCGAAATGTGGTTGTTTTTTTTTTTTTAGATTGAGTGCCACCCATATCTGACCCAAGAGAAGATGATCAACTACTGCCACTCAAAAGGCATCACAGTGACAGCATACAGTCCTCTGGGCTCCCCTGACAGACCCTGGTAAGAGGATGTACAATCTATTGTAAACAAAGCTAATGTAGGAGTATAATCAGCTTTACTTCTCGAGGATATTAACAGTGTCACATTGTTTTTCTTGTCCTCTTCTACTAAAGGGCTTCATCTGATGAACCCTCGCTGCTGGAGGAACCTAAGATCAAGGCCATTGCTCAAAAGTACAAGAAAACTCCAGCACAGGTACTGTGGAATTACACAAGTCAGGAATTTTGAAATTTGAATTTCTAAATGAGACATCTCATGTTGGGTAAAAGGTCAGATATCAGACAGTAGGATCACGAGTGTGCAGCACAACCGGAGAACAACGAGATGCAGTATTTAACTAATACTGAATATCTTAGTTATTGGCTGCATGTTGTCTCCCGTGGAAAACCAAAAACTGCGTGCTTACAGTTATGCAATGCTACATTTCAAAGGTTAAATTATTGACATCAGCAAGAAGAAAATCAATACTGTCATGTGGTGGATTAGATTAGAAGGCTTATTAAAAAAAATATTTGAATCATGGGAAATTGAAATAATACTGAACTGAATGACCACTGCTCGTTTGAACCATATCCCCAGGTTCTGATTAGGTTCCACATCGAAAGAAATGTGGTTGTCATTCCAAAGTCAGTAACACCCCATCGTCTCAAGGAGAACTTCCAGGTACAGTAATCATAAATATTCATGAGCAGATTTAGTTTTTAGTCTTTTTAGCTAATATAGTGTATTCTCACTGAGCAGTTATCATATTTAGATTTATTTGTGTAGAAATCTGCATTGTTGGGGGAATTTAGGTCATGGACTTATGCAAAAATGTTTATTTTTCTATGTTCTCATTTGGATTTTCATTATACTTGTTGGGTTCCATAGAGCAGCTCATATAGTTTGTGCAGGTTATAAGTTATTTTTCGGTTCTGTCTTTTTCAGCTGTTTGACTTTCAGTTGAGCAAAGATGACATGAAGGACATCCTCAGCTTGAATAAGGACTGGAGAGGCTTCGCATTACAGTGGTGAGTAAAAATGAAGGAAGATTAAGGGTAAAGGGGATACAGAAAAAATAAAGGTGTGGCATTATTCTAAAATAAACTGTGCTATCAAGTAATGGCTATTTCTTGTCTTCTTTTTTCCAGGGCTTCAAAGCACAAAGACTTTCCCCTTAATGCAGAATACTAAGTTAATATGGTTCACCATGCCTTTTTTATATCAGTTTTGCTTGAATGTTTTCTGCAGAATTAAAAAAAAAAAAAAAATCAATAAAATGAACAATGCAACTTGTGTGGCTTTTTTAAAAAATCCTGTTAGGACATTTGTGTTTGCATTGGATGAATGTGAGTTCAGCTGTT